ATGCAGCCACTGCGCCAATCCTCTCTTTCCTCCTCCCTCCCCCTTCCAGTATTGTCCATCAAGGATACACTCCCCCCAGCAAAAGAAACTGACGCGAGCTAAGGTGCGGTGTCCTCTGAAGAACTGGGTTCTCAGATGTCTAACTGAGGAGTGATACGTGACTAGACAGACGCACCACAGCGTTGCCGCGGAGAGCACGTAAGTGGTTACGTGATCAACCCTAGACCCACATAATGTGCTTGATCTTCTTTTTTCAAGTCTGTTCCTTTAAATAGACTGAATTTTTCAGAGGGCACCATGCGCTGAGTAAAATCGTCTACTGGTCTTTCTGGACCATCACATTCAAAATGGCTTTTAGGCAACATTTGTTTGTCTGTCTGTTTGGGTCTGCTTTTATCATGCCTGGGTTATCCCAATTTACATGAAAGCCAGACACAGAACAGAAATATTGATATCAGGCCAAGTTTTTGAAAATAGTGGGAGGAAAACTGGGCTTTCTACTCCTGTAAACAGTTCCAGTCTGGGAAACCCACAGCAGGGTTCACTTCGTGTCAACAATGACTCGACAGCAATGAGACTATCAGTCATATAACATATGCGATGATTCACCAGCCTTTTTCCATCTTAAAAATAAATCCACCAAATGTGATCTAATAGCATAAAAGTTCTAACACATCTACACTTCGTTGTTTCTTGTTCTCTACACTAAAGCAAAGTTCACTTCCTCAAACTTTCTACAATGTACCACACACCTTCACATACTGTTACAACCATGTCAAGATGCTTCGTGGTTTCTTCATTGATTTTAGCGATGCATAATATTCCCTTGTGTGCATATCCCAAAGTTTCTTCATTCGATTATCCAGTCAATTCTGACGCATAGCGACCTCCCAGGACAGAGCAGAGGGCTCCGCAGGGTGTCTGAGATCGTCAGAGCCAATGGAACTTCACGGGCTGACCTTTTAGCAAGCAGCTATTTTGCTTGAACTGCTACATTTTGGGGAGCAGCCCAGCACTTGGCTCTCTGTGCCACCATGTCATTTCTGCTTAGAATGGACTAGAATTAGCTATAGTCATTTGTTGTATATCTGAAGTAGCTCTGGCTGAGCAAAGTGGAAGTACTGATTTTTCCTCTAAAATCCCCTCTTTGGTGAAACAACATTGTAATATTTAATCTAAGTCAATTGCAGATATCTAGATTCAAAGGTTGATATACACATACAAAAATCTGTCAAAATGAACCACTTCATTAATGCTTCATAATATTAATACAATTTACAAGCATATTATAAAACCAACAATTCAATCCACAAGCACACACCTTATAAAATCGAAACTGAGTTTTAAAAGAAAAATATACATGTGTATATAGTTAAACTTATAATATCATCCAGAGAAAAGCATTATATATATTTCTTTTAATAAATGTTTTGGTCTAGAAAGGCCTTGTCATATAAAAAAATTGGGCTTTCCTACAGTGCACTCTAAAGGGGGTGTCTAATCACAGGTTACAAAAAGGTAGTTTGTTAATGGAAGGTGGGAGAAGAAAATGAAGCTCAAAGTAGATTGCTCTTAAGCTGGAGTGGGAAGTCCCACGGGAACTCGGGGTGCACCATGTCTAGCCCAACCACAAAGCAAAGCTTTCATTCAAGGTGGGTGCCATTTTGCATAGCCAAACACCCAATTTTTAACCATCTATAAGGTCACTCACTGCCTGAGTTTCCCGTCTGATACTTATAGTTGTGAAGATTAACAACGGCACACAATTCTCAGAACAGCACATTCAAAAGTAGCTACTTAACTTTAAGCTGTTTCAGTTAGGTTAACACGTTTTTAAATTACTGAAAAATGCTCTTTAAAGGTGGCCACTGATATTCCAAAGGATCCTTAGTAATGGAACGCCAGTTTCCACAGCATGAGTAGAGAAAAAGGCATTTTATTATGGTTTACATGTCAAAACTGTTACTTAGTCCCCAACTGCTCCCGAGTGAAATCTCCCCAGACCCACACAGAAATTCTGGCAACAACAAACAATGACACAGTGCAAGATTAATTATGCATATCATATTGTAATTATGTGAATTTAAGTATAATCGATCATTTAATTATGATTTATATATCCAGTTCAATAAATTGTATTTATTTAGTTATTATAACTGTATACACATATTTATTATTTATCAAATGACTACACCACAATTTATATTTAATTACTGATTATAGTCATTTGATGATAACATCTTATAATGTCATATATTGCAAATATATAACGTTAAAAGAGACAAAGGCAACACAAGACACAGGCACATCATCTGGATGAGGGAGGCCAACAACATGAGGTCATAATGGCGACTGAGGATCCAAATAAGGCATGAGACAAAGGAAACAGGGGGGACTACAGAAATAGGAACAGGTCCATGACCGACACACGTGCATTATAAAGCTAGATAGATGAGCTTACAAGATTGGTCCAAGGCCTTCCAACCAGGGCAGTCCGGGCACGACTGATGTCAAGGCATGACTTATGATTTTACAGCTCCAGTACTGTCCATCAGGGAGACACCCAGAGAAGCCCCTGAGACGGTCCCTCTCTTTGAGCTGGCTGGAATGGGTGGAGATAATCTAGTTTCCAATGCACTGCCTTGGGGCAAGACTACAACCTCGTTAATGATGAGAAGGAAGTCTTAATCTACGAGGGGGCTCTGTAAATGGACGTCGGGCTGTTTTCAGATGCAAGTCTTGAAAGGGTCAGAAACAACACAAACACACAGCATCCTGATGAGGGAGGTCATTAGCAAAAAGTCAAAATGGCCTCTGAGGATTCAAGCTGGGACACTAGTTATATAAGGCATGAAACAAGGGCAACCCACGGTCTTGTTTGATGGCACATCAATACAGCAGTTACAAGAGAGACGGCAGATCCAGGAAGAGGATCATGATGGGGACACTTATATTATGTCAGATAGAAGGGCTTACAAGATTGATCCTGGGCCTGCGGACCAAGGCAGTCAGGGCACATCTGACAGGGCACGATTCAGGACTATTCGACCTCCGGTACCCAGGTAACAGTTACCTCCATCAAGGACACACCCAGGCAAACCCCTAAAAGAGACCGTCCCTGTCTGGGCTGGCTGGAATGGGGACTGTCTAAGTGATCTACTTTGCAAGGCACTCTGCCTGAGGGCGAGATGATCTACACCCTTGGTTAAGGATGGCAGAGTTCACTGGAGGGTGAATCTACGTGGGAAGTCTGCACAAGCATTTTGGGTTGTCACGGCCGTCCACAGCCTTTGGCAAATCGGGGTGCTCAGAATTTAAGCCCCAATACAGTTATCGCTGTCCTCCACAGCCTCTGCCAAGCCAAGAGCTCAGAGTTGAAGCTCTAATCCACCTGTCGCACGGACTGAACTGCAGTGTCCCACGTCAGGCTCTCTCGGGGCCAACGCGCGGTGGGGCAGGTGGGGCTCACCTGTGCGGTTCCGGAAGGTGGCCGCCGTGGTGCTGAAGAGCAGGCGACGGTAGCGCTGGAAGGCCTGGTCGAGGACCGAGCAGCCCGGCTGCGTGGCGGAGCCGGCGTGGTACTGGAAGCTGAAGTCCTTCGGGAAGACGGCGTACCGCTGCTCGGTGGTCTGGATGTACTGGGGCCAAGGCCATTGTGCCGTCGCCGGCCCCGCGGACGCCGCCAGCTGCAGCAGCAGCAGCGAAAACCAGGGCGTGGAGCCTGCCATTGCCCGCCGGGCCCCGCTCTGCAGCCGGGGGAGCCACGTGAGCGTCTGATCAGGTGACGGCGCTCGCGTGACAATCGGCGCGTCACGTGACCCGCGGCCCGCGACCCCGGGAGCGCTGACTACCGGTCCTCTGGTTCCGGTGCCCAGGGAGCGTGGCCTCCGCGCTGTGCAGCGCCTGCGCGGCCGGCGGCTCCCCCTCGGCGGGAGGCCCCTGGGCCCGCTGGAGCAGCAGATCGTTTAGCATCACCGACGTGGTCCCCACGGGACCTGTGAAAGTTACCAACGGCCAGTACGGCCGTAAACGTGGCCCCTCTGTTCGGTTCGCGGCGCACAGTGTCTGTGCCTGCCTCTTCGGAATTTGCATAACCGCTACCGTGGCCGGGGACTGGGTGACACTGCTGCGCATCGCTAATGTGATTCTTGGGGCTTTATCTGATTATGATGGTCGATAGGTGCATCTGGTGACGTGAGTCATGGAAAGTGCCTGGAAAAACACAGGACTCCCCCAGATGTGCGTTCTGGTGCAGAGGCGTAGGAACGCCATGGATTCGGATCGCAAGCGGAACTCCAGGAAGACAGCCCTGCTGGCTGGCTGGCCGCTCCTCCCTAACTGGGAGGAATATGGCTCTGCGGCGCCAGGGTGAAAACTTTCCTTCCGAGTAACCCTTACAACGGGAGCTCCTCAGACTGTAGATTCAGGCGGTGGGGAGGCAGTGGTCCAGCCGGAAAAGAACCGGACTTTAGGGCTTGTCAGGCCAACCGAGAGCAAAGGACATTATAGGCCCAGGTAACTTCCGAAGCAGAAAAATGGATACAAACCCCAAGTCACTGTGGTGTGACATGCTGTGGTGCAGGGACATAGGGTTTGAACAGCTCTGCTAGAGAGGGGAGTTTTGGGCATCTGTTTAAGACTGGGTGAAGTAGGGGGAAGGGCAGCCTTGAGTGTAAGCTTGCTGCATCCCATTGCCTGCCTTCCACGTGGGCTCTTGGCTTCCTGGCTGATGGTAAATCTAATTAACTGCCCCATATCCCTTCCCCCAAAGCAAAACTTAATATACTGCAAACAGTAAATGTGATAGGTAGGTTCAGTGTGCCAACCTGGCCAATGAACACATGTAGGATTAATTGCAGGGCGGAGAGATAAATGGCTCTGCCTTTCTTGTCTCTTGCTCCTTGATGTTTGAACAGTGTGCGGCTGCCTTGGCTTGTTCTCTGCCTCAATTTGCAAGCTATACTACTGTGGGGCACCTAACCCATGAACTGTCGCTGTAGTTTGAGGTTCCTTCAAGGCCTGCTTCGCCACACTACTGGAGTATATACATCGCTTGAGCTGGGGACTGTCGGACCCTGTCATCTGGCTGACTGTTGGTGACCTGCCTTGCTGTTTGCTGCCTGTGCCTGGATAGGCTGAATTGCTCTACAGAGGACTTCCTGGCCGCCCTCAAGACTTGAGGGACTGCCAGCTATCTCACGGGAGTGACTTGTACTGAGCCATTTGTACTGCTTTATAGAGTAACTGTTTATTTCTTATGTTATATATCTATATAATATAGATAGACATATAATCATTAGTGTCCTGGTTTTGTTTCTCTAAAGAACCCTGTCTAACATAGTAAGATACTACTGGGTCCTTGGATGCAAGTTGGAGAATATGTGGTGATAATAATGGGTCTGGTTCTGAGAGATTTTAAAAAAGATGTCTGAGAGTCAGGACTTGATTCGGTAGGCAATTAAGAAGTCATCCTAGAGATGTGCATTTCATAAAATTCATGTAGGGTAAGTGGATGGATAATTTTTTTTAACAATTAGGAAGTCTTCTTTCCCAGAGATGGAGAATGATGAGAGTATGGCAGTGGGGAAGGAAGAGAGCTGCAGATGTGGGCAGCGTGGGTGTGGAGAATGTTCAAGAGAGGCCTGAGGAAGGAGCAATGCAAACTCAATGAACCTTACTGAGTCAATGACCCTGTCTTCTTTGTTCACAACAGCGGCATCCTCAACATAGTTAAATCCCTGAAAGCAAAAAGAGATTTAAAAGAGTGCTATTATTGCATGACATTACTTGGCTAAAAAGTAAACTTTTAATAATAAAATGGCTTGGTAGGGCATGATCAAGGGTAATGTAAGCAAGAGGAATTGCTGAAACTCAGGTGGGGACTGAGCATGATAGTGGGACAGGAGGAAAGTCAAGGGAAATAGAGGAAAGAGCTGGGAGGC